ACGGCCTCCTCGAGTTCCTGAAACAGCGCCCACAGGCTCCTCGAGGCCTCCAGCTCCGCGCGCCGCCGCGCCGCCTGCTCCTGCAGCTCTGCCAGACAGCCGTGCACATGGTTCACGCGGTTGCAGATGACCTGCGGATCGCAGGGCTGGTAGCCTGAGCCAGGAGAAGGGGAGGATCCCGGGTTGGGCTCAGGCAAGAAGGCACCAAAGAGAGGGTGGTGCCGGCTACCTGACCATCCCTTGGGGCCTCCAGCTCCGCGCGCCGCCGCGCCGCCTGCTCCTGCAGCTCTGCCAGACAGCCGTGCACATGGTTCACGCGGTTGCAGATGACCTGCGGATCGCAGGGCTGGTAGCCTGAGCCAGGAGAAGGGGAGGATCCCGGGTTGGGCTCAGGCAAGAAGGCACCAAAGAGAGGGTGGTGCCGGCTACCTGACCATCCCTTGGCTCAACTTCACCAGGGGCCAGGTTATGGGTCCCCTCTTCCAGGCAGCCTTCCCTGACACCCCGAGTCTGGAGCAGCCGCTTCCTCTGGCTCACCTAGGCTTCTCTGCTTCCCCCGTCCTGGCCTTGGGCCCTCTGGGCTATCATTGCCTGATTTGCCTCCCCCACTGGACTGGGAGCTCCTCGAGGGCAGGGCCTGCGTGTCTCATCACACCTCGGTCCCCACCATTGTCCAGCACAGGGTGGAGCCCAGAGCATCAACTTAATGAAAATAGTGACTTGACTGAATGATGGATGGAAACTGAAATTCAGAGGGTCCTAGAATCAGTATATTTTGCATAAACTGTGTTTCCTTCAGAACTGGGTCAAATGAAACTGCTCTACTCTTAAGCCATTTTCTGGGTTCCCTCTCTCATTCTCTGTTGCCTTAACTATTTACCCCCAGTGATGACCTGAATTCCCTTTTTCTTCAAAAGATTCGTTTTCACTCAGCCAGCGTGGCTCCTATGAACCAGGAGGTCATGGTTGGATTCTCGGTTGGGGCACATGCCTGGGTTGTGGGCTCGATCCCCAGTGTGGGGTATGCAGGAGGCAGCCAATCAATTGATTGTTTCTCATCATTGGCGTTTCTATCTCTCTCTCTCCCTCTCCCTTCCTCTCTGAAATCAATAAAAAAAAAAATTTTTTAAAAACTAACTTTCCTCCCTGACCTCTAGTCTATGATCCCAAAACTAATGGGTTGCAGCCAGCATTTCTTTAATGTAATAGCATCAAATGAATAAAAAACATCAGAATCCAATGCACAAGGTAAGGGGTAGCATTTTTAGAAAACATTGGTGTGTGTGTGTGTGTGTGTGTGTGTGTGTGAACTCTGGGTCATGAGTAAATGCATTTCTGACTGGGTCACAGCACTACGAGATGGAATGTGGATTTCTATAATTCTGGACATTCACAGAAATTGACTCAAATACCAAGGCATCCAACTAAATAATAAATGGAGACAATGTATCCAGCCCAATGTCACAGTGTCCTTTAGTCCTCACAACCACCCCATGAGGTCAGCATCCTTACTTGCCCATCTTACAGATGAAGAAACTGAGACTCAGGGAGGGAAGCTGCTTGCCCAGGATCAGCTAAGACACTCTGGACCACTTGTCAGGCAGTGCTGCCTCCTGTCACCATGACAACACACATCCCCCACCAGCCTGTTTGCTGTTTTCATGGTGCTGCTGGTTGTCACCAAGTACCAAGATCTCACAAGAAGATGGTGGCCTCCTGTGACAAACAGCCCCAAGGTACAGGACAGGGTCCCCTCAACCTCTCCTGCGGTTCTGATGCGGGTGAGAGGGGCTGAGCCAGGATTGAGCTGTCTTCACCAGGGCTTAGAAGGACAACTCACTTGCTCTTAGCACGTGACCCAGCCTGTGCGAGTCAGAAACTCTCCCACCATCTTTCAAGCCTATAGGCTCTTCCTTTCCTAACAAAGCTCCAGGATTTTAAAGGGTCCTGACTCCAGATAAAGGAACAAGACAGATCAGCCTCAAAACCCTGTTATAGGCTCTGCAGCTCTGGGCCTCAGAGCGAAAGAAAAGCAGCTCTGGCTGATGTCAGCGCACACAGGGAGCACACGCAGGGCACAGCATCAGACAAGGCACTCTGCAGCTGTGCCCAAGTGGGACAAAGTGCGATCACTCCATCCTGTGTCCGGGCACACACAGCAACAAGGTCACCCCTTCACCCAGCTAAGGTGGACGATTTCTTCGAATTCCCAAGAAATGATTAAGATGTGCAATCATCACATTGCCCCCACTTCCTGACAGCATCCAGTCTGCAGCAAGATACACTACACAAATGCATCCCAAGTCACTGACACAGGCCACATCCTATAACAAGCCCTTCTTAACAGCCTCTTACTAAAATTCCCCAAGGTCTGTGCAAAGAGCCAACAACCCAGCTTGTTTTGCCTGAGGGGGTTCCTGGTGGTCTTTGGCTGGAGGAAAATGACATCAGTAAATTAGAATTTCAGTAGAGTCAGCCTCAGTTTTGCCCATTGGCATCCATGCCCCTGCTTCTGGCAATGGTGGCCCACCTCCCCGCTCCCAGGCCAAGTCTTTGGAGGGAGCTGACCCCACTCTTGGCCCTGGGGTGGGTACATCACAAAGATGTGGCCAATTAGATCACTGTATCGTCCAGGGCCACTCTGCTTGTCTGAGCCATGGGGATGGAACCCACAGCGGGCTAATGAAAGCTCCCCCTGGGCCTTTTGTCAGAACTATTGGGAATAGGGGCCTGATTCTGCTGGAGTCTGTGGCTGCTGAAATGTAAAAAGGGCTGAGTGACCCCAGGTCTACACCACAAGGGAAAGGGCTGCCCAACAGTGACACAAACATAGAGAATAGAGTCAGAGAGAGAGTATTAAAAGCATCATTGAACCACGCCTGGATCCAGCCCTTCCTGAAGCCATCTCACCTCTCGCTGGACATTTCAGTTATATCTGCCAATACATTCATTCCCTCTTCCTCCTTAATGCTCATTGAATTGAGTTTCCATCACTTGCTGGTGAACAGGCCCTGACAATACATTACATTACACAGTCCTTTTATGATATTCATTGCGATCCAGCTGTAAGGGCTTAGCACATAAAAAATGCTCGATAAATGGGAACTATTGCTACAAACTCTCAAAGCAGGAAGAAATCACATGGTTCAACCTCCTACTCAAGGCACTAATTTCTCTGATGATATATCCCCGATGGAGTGGGATCCTAGTCTGTGACTGGATGCTTCCAAAGACAGGGAACTCATTCCTTCCTTCTCCCTCTCAGGAGTCATTCGGCTTCTAATAGCATCAGCTGTGGAAGTCTCCCCAAGTCCCAACATCAGACTCACCCTGAAGCTGGGAGAAACGCAGAGCAGCAGCATTGAGGGCCTCCACCCGCTCACTCTGGGCAGCAATGTCCCCCTCCAGCAGTCCATGCTTCTGCAGCAGGTCCTCTGCCTCCACCAGGTGCTGCCCACACTCCTGAGACAGCAGCTGAGCCTATAAGAGGGGCAGCACTGAGGATATTTTTGGCTTTGGCCCTGAGGCCACTCCGCGCCGCGCCCCCCCCCCCCCCCCCCCCCCCCCCCCCCATCCAGGCAGCCCTCTGCTCTCCTACACCATCACCTGAACCCTGACCTTTGTCTCAGTCTCCTTGTCTCTGTCCTCACTTCTCTCTCTGAATGTTCCATCGCTCATTGTCTCCACGTTTTGGGGCCCTGGCTGTCACGATGTCTGTCTCCTCCTCTCTGTGCCGTCTCTGTCCTCTCCCACCTCTCTGCCTCCACCTCTTTCTCCCTTACACTCTGTCTCCATCTCTCTCTGTCTTTATCTCTATCACTATTTCTTTATCTCCATGTGTCACTGTCTGTATCTCTCTCTGTTCCCATACTTCTTTTCTCCATCTCTCTCTGTATCTCTCTGTGTGGTCTTTCTCAAGTAGATGCCATCTTCCTGTGCCTTTCTCTGTAGCCATTTAGATTTCCATTGCTAACTTTGTGTCTGCTTCTCTACCACTCTCTCTAGTGCCCTCCCCCCCCCCTCTTTCCCCCTGGAATAATCTTTCTCTTTCTGTCTCTATATCTCTGTGTCTTTTTAATCTACTTCTCTCTGTGTCTCCGTCTCTTTCTCTGCCTCTGTCTCTCCCTGTCTCTTTTTCTCACTCTTTCTCATTGTCTCCCTTCTTTCTCTTTATCTTTCTGTCTCTCTCTCCTTCCCTCTCCATGTCTCTGGTAGCCCTTTCAGTGCCTAGATCCCTCCCTCCCCTCCTGGCCCACCACGCCCACCCTTGGCCCCAGTCTGGCCCCCACCTGCATCTCCTCCATCCAGTCCACCATGTACACCATCTCCTGGAAGACCTTCTGCAGGGCCAGGTTCTGCTCCAGCCGTGTCCGCCGGGCACCTACCAGCCCGGTCAGCAGGGCCCACTGGCGCAGGACACTGTCACGCTGGGCTGCCACCCTCCGGGCATCGTAGTAGCCCTCAGTCGCCAGTGCCTGGGCCAGCTCTGCCACGCCCTGCACCCGCTCCTCGTAGGCTGCAATGTCTGCCTCAATCGCCTCGTGTTTCTTCATGGCTGCCTCCACTGCCGGCAGCTCATAGCCAAAGTTGTCCTGGGGCAGGGCAGACCGCAGACACTCACCCACGCTGCCTCAGCAGCAACGTGTGAACTTGGAAAACTCCCCACCTACTTCCGTTACCCTGGAGACCAGCCCCATCCTTCCCTGTTACATTTCTAATCCTAAACATGTTACCTAGGAAACAGGCCCATCCTTCCATTTCCCTCAAGACTAGGGACCAGGCCTACCCTATCCTGTTACCTAGGAGACCAGTTCTATCCTCCTGAGTTACCTTGGACACCAGATACAACCTCCTTTGTCACTTAAAAGATAATTAAATACTCTCCCTATTTCTGAAAAAATACTAATTCTGTCTTCTCTAGTTAGTTACCCGGGAGACTAGCCTCACTCTCCTGTTCCCCTGGATATCAGGCCCTCTCCCTCCAACCCTCAAACAACACCAATCACCTAGGACAGTGATGGCGAACCTATGACACGCGTGTCAGAGGTGACACACGAATTCATTTTTTTGGTTGATTTTTCTTTGTTAAATGGCATTTAAATATATAAAATAAATATCAAAAATATAAATCTTTGTTTTACTATGGTTGCAAATATCAAAAAATTTCTATATGTGACACGGCACCAGAGTTAAGTTAGGGTTTTGCAAAATGCTGACACGCCGAGCTCAAAAGGTTCGCCATCACGGTGCTGTCCTCTCCTCTGTTTTTACTCTTTTTACTTATGCTCTCCCCTCTGTCTGAAGTGCCATGTCCCCTGCATGTCACCAGACTGACTCTTGCTCCTTTAAAAAGACTCAGCTCAGCCCCTACCCTCATTCCATCCCATCCCAGGCTAGGAGACTTCCCTGGAATCCCGAGTCCCTGCCTGAGTCACCGTCCCAGTACTTAACCCTTTGACTGGACTTGGTGATTTCTCCCACTACCAGGGGTGGGCAAACTTTTTGACTCGAGGGCCACAATGGGTTCTTAAACTGGACCAGAGGGCCGGAACAAAAGCATGGATGGAGTGTTTGTGTGAACTAATATAAATTCAAAGTAAACATCATTACATAAAAGGGTATGGTCTTTTTTTTTTAGTTTTATTCATTTCAAACGGGCCGGATCCAGCCCGCGGGCCGTAGTTTGCCCAC